TGGTGTCAAAAGAGAGCATCTGATGACTCAGAAGGGAGGTCTGGGCGGCATCCGGACAGCGGGCGAGGGCCGGGCTCAGGGCCGGGCTCGTTTTAAGCAAACAGTCACACACTTCGTGCTCTTCGACCTCCCAGAACTCCATTCCCGGGCCACATTTTGAATGCCCGAAGCCAACTGTAGGCCACTTCGTTCTCTGCGACTTTCCAGAACTTCATTCCCGGGCCACATGTTGGATGCTCGGAGCCAACTGTAGGCCACTTCGTGCTCTTCGATCCCAGAATTCCATTCGGAGCCAACTGTAGGCCACTTCGTGCTCTTCGACTTCCCAGAATTCCATTCCCGGGCCACATTTTGGATGCCCGGAGCCAACTGTAGGCCACTTCGTGCTCTTCGACTTCCCAGATCTCCATTCCCGGGCGACATTAAGATGCCCGGAGCCAACTGTAGGCCACGTCGTGCTCTTCGACTTCCCAGAACTCCATTCCCGGGCCAGATTTTGGATGCCCGGAGCCAACAGTAGGCCATTTCGTGCTCTTCGATTTCCCAGAACTCTATTCCCGAGCCACATTTTGGATGCCCGGAGCCAACTGTAGGCCACTTCGTGGTCTTCGATTCCCCCCATCCCGGGCCACATTTTGAATGCCCGGACCAACTGTAGGCCACTTCGTGCTCTTCGCGTTCCCGAACTCATTCCCGGCCACATTTGAATGCTGAGGCAGGCTGAGGCTGAAGGCTGAGGCTGAGGCTGAGGCTGATGCAGGCTGAGGCTGAGGCAGGCTGAGGCTGAGGCCGAGGCTGAAGGCAGACTGAGGCCGAGGCTGAAGCAGGCTGAGGCTGAGGCACTGAGGCTGAGGCCGAGGCTGAAGGCAGACTGAGGCTGAGGCTGAAGCAGGCTGAGGCTGAGGAGGCAGGCTGAGGCTGAGGCTGAGGCAGGCTGATGCTGAGGCAGGCTGAGGCTGAGGCTGAGGCTGATGCAGGCTGAGGCTGAGGCAGGCTGAGGCTGAGGCCGAGGCTGAAGGCAGACTGAGGCTGAGGCTGAGGCAGGCTGAGGCTGAGGCTGGAGGCAGGCTGAGGCTGAGGCTGAGGCTGAGGCTGAGGCTGAGGCAGGCTGAGGCTGAGGCCGAGGCTGAAGGCAGACTGAGGCTGAGGCTGAAGCAGGCTGAGGCTGAGGCTGAGGCAGGCTGAGCTGAGGCTGAGGCTGAGGCAGGCTGATGCTGAGGCAGGCTGAGGCTGAGGCTGAGGCTGATGCAGGCTGAGGCTGAGGCAGGCTGAGGCTGAGGCCGAGGCTGAAGGCAGACTGAGGCTGAGGCTGAAGCAGGCTGAGGCTGAGGCTGAGGCAGGCTGAGGCTGAGGCTGAGGCAGGCTGAGGCTGAGGCAGACTGAGGCTGAGGCTCAGGCTCATGCAGGCTGAGGCTGAGGCAGGCGGAGGCTGAGGCCGAGGCCGAAGGCAGACTGATGCTGAGGCTGAGGCTGAGGCTGCGGCTGCGGCTGAGGCAGGCTGAGGCTGAGGCTGAGGCAGGCTGATGCTGAGGCAGGCTGAGGCTGAGGCTGAGGCTGATGCAGGCTCAGGCTGAGGCAGGCTGAGGCTGAGGCCGAGGCTGAAGGCAGACTGAGGCTGAGGCTGAAGCAGGCTGAGGCTGAGGCTGAGGCTGAGGCTGAGGCAGGCTGAGGCTGAGGCTGAGGTAGGCTGATGCTGAGGCAGGCTGAGGCTGAGGCTGAGGCTGATGCAGGCTGAGGCTGAGGCAGGCTGAGGCTGAGGCCGAGGCTGAAGGCAGACTGAGGCTGAGGCTGAAGGCTGAGGCTGAGGCTGAGGCTGAGGCTGAGGCAGGCTGAGGCTGAGGCTGAGGCAGGCTGATGCTGAGGCAGGCTGAGGCTGAGGCTGAGGCTGATGCAGGGTGAGGCTGAGGCAGGCTGAGGCTGAGGCCGAGGCTGAAGGCAGACTGATTTTGAGGCTGAGGCAGGCTGAGGCTGAGGCTGAGGCAGGCTGAGGCTGAGGCAGGCTGAGGCTGAGGCTGAGGCACGCTGAGGCTGAGGCTGTGACTGCGACTGCCGTTGCCACTGCGACTGCCATCGCGAATGCGACTACGACTGCGAGAACAGCAGAATTCTACAACAGGATTCTCATCTGAATCTGAAGGGGAATGCTTCCAGATATGCTCCTACACATCGCTGTTAGGTTGCTTTGCCGGGATAAGTTTTGTCCGTTGTCCCCGGCCTCCGGAAGCGTGCGGCGCCCCCGCGGCGGGGTGCTGGCCGGCGGGCCCGGGCTCCCCCGCGCAAGGGTGGCGACGGGCCTTCCGCGGGCTCCTCCTCTCTCGGCTCGGACGACCTCCTCTCGTCGGTGTCGTTTAGCCGACCCCCCATCCCCGTCCTCATCCCCTTCGAGACCCCCACCGTCTCACCACCCCAGTTGGGGATACACCCCTCGAAACCCGAAGGGGACGGCCTGTGTCCCCATCTAGGGGGGGGCAAATCGGCCAGTGGGGCCCAGGCCACGCCGCTGGGGATGGGGATCGGAGAAACGATACTCATCTCGTCGAGAAGTGGAAAGCACGATGCGCGGGAGGTTTTCGATGAGTTCCAGCCTTCGGGGCCGCTCGCGGGGCCTCGGGACCATCAACAAGCTAGCCGGCATGAAGACACGGCCCCAGCGAAGGGGTCGAGACCTCCTTCGGGTCCGCGCGGCGAGCAAGGCACGACTGCGGAGCAGATGCACCGCCACTGCTTCCCCTTGGCAGCTCTGCCACTTCGGGCCTCGAGGCCCTCCTCGCCACCTTTGGATTCGCCTCGACATTTTTGGACAGACCGCGCCCCCAGAGAGGTCTGGGGAGCAGCGGTATCGGCATCTGGCCGTTTACATCAGGAGCTCGGCCACAAGAAACCTTCCACATGAGACCCCTACCTTGAGACCCCAGGATGTCCATTGATTTTTGGTGCGTGAAAGGTAGCGCTTTCTGTAGCAAAGCCACCACAATCCAAGAAGCCCAGGGCAGCCTTGCGGCAAGCAGGGCGTTTCTCGGCAGGGGCTTCCACGGCACACAGACACACAGCAATACTTTCCCCACGGCCACGTGGGGCACGAGCAGCGCAGGGCTGCCCTCCGCGAGGGGGGGCAGGGCGCCGAGATGCCCCAGCTGCCGCCGAGCAGAGGTCTTGTTTCGAGTCGGCACCCTGCCGTTGGCCCAGGCAGGGCCCTCCCGTCTCCTCCCTGGTTGCGGAGAGGTTCCCCCCAGGCGGGTACGGAACCCCCGCAATGTTGTTTTCTGGGGGTCTTTCCCCCTCCCCTTCCCCCCCCCCTGGCCGTCCTGACCTGGCCCAACCACGACGTCGAAACACAGGACATCGGCGCCCATGTCCTGCAAGTCCGAGCGCTTGCGGGGCACCTTAGGGGGAAATCCTCGGTGGCCAACCGCCGCCATCGAAAAGAACAAGCATCGGGAGGAGTCGGCGAGGCAGAGTTGGTTGCACCGGCGAAAGAGCTGGACGAGGGCACCGAAAAGCGAATAAGCCAGCGTGCAGCAGTGGGAAGAGGGCAGGGCTCCTCCCCCTCCTCCTCCTCCTCCTCCCTCCTCCTCCTCCCTCCTCCTCTCCTCCTCCTCCTCCTCCTTCTCGACCTCCTCCTCCTCGTCCTCCTCCTCATCTTCCTCTTCCTCCTCCTCCTCCTCCCCCTCCTCCTCCTCCTCCCCCTCCTCCTCCTCCTCCTCCTCCTCGACCTCCTCCTCCTCGTCCTCCTCCTCATCTTCCTCTTCCTCTTCCTCCTCCTCCTCATCCTCCCCCTCCTCCTCCCCCTCCTCCTCCTCTTCCGCCTCCTCCTCGGGCGGCCGCGGGGGGGGGAGGAGATGGAGGGGCCACTCCGCGGTGCAAGAGCTCGCACCCGAGTGTGCGGACTCTCCGGCACGAGCGCCAACCTCCCGAGGCCCACGCGCGGACCGCTCGGGGGTCGCCGCGGAGCCCCCGCCCGGCGTCGCCGGGCCCTGGCGCGCTCCGCGCGCCCAGGGCTGGCTAGTGGGGTGCGGCGCCGACCCGAGCGGTCCTCGAGGATAAGAGGAGCCCCTGACCCTCATAGCGCGATGAAGATCGGAGGTTGATAGACCTCCTACCCTGACACGTCGATTGGCGAATTGGCCGTTTTCGGTTCGCGAGAGGGCGTCGCGGCCGTCATTCTTGCGGGTCCAGGTCCATTGGTTTCGGTCTTGGGCCGTTTTCACTAAAGTGTGGTTTACTAAGGGAGGTTTGTCCACCGCCGAGAAGGCGTAGCCTCATTGAGGTCCCCGTCTTTGAATCGGGGATAATCGATCTAGGCTCAGAGGAGGAAAAGGCACCCATACCTCTACCCTCCCATCGTTTTCCCCCTTTTTGGGCCTCCTGGGCCTCTGTCGTCGCCACCGCTGGATTCGCCTCGGAATTCTGGTCAGAACGCACCCCAGGAGAGGTCCAGGGAGTAGCAGTACCGGTACCTTTCGGCTTCCCCATAGGCAGGCTGGTTCGATGCATCTGCAGGGAAGACTCCCTCATCTCTAAACGTTGCATCGGCGGCGACGATAGGGGCGAATAGCCCATGGGCGGGCATTGCACGTATCCGCCCGGGCCTTTTCGAAGACATAGATCATCGGCGCACCTGAATACATGCATTGCTCTCCCCCGGGCTATTCGCCCCGATCGTCGCCTCTGATTGTGGGCCCTCCTAACTTAGGTCCCCTCCCAAAGGGTTAGGGGTCCTTGTATTGCTCATCAAGCGGTCCTCGCGGACCTCCCGCAGCCTGTGCTCGTGCCGCCTTCTCTCAGGATGGGAAACAAAGCACACACAGACACAATTGATCGTCGATCCCCTGGAAAATATCGGAAATATGGGAAGTGGGGGGGGAAGAAGAAGAAGAAGAAGAAGAAGAAGAAGAAGAAGAAGAAGAAGAAGAAGAAAAACATATGGAACAATATGAGAAATCCTGGGGCCTGTGTCTATTCACTTGCGTGTCCCTGGGCTCCTTTATCCTCTCCTCCTGGAGGACTACCTCCGGTGCGGCCCCACCGAGTCGATGCCGACGGCGCTGGCGCAGGCCCTCGGCGCTGGCCTCGCGCTCGAGGCCGGGAGGAGCGGGCGGGCCGCCCCTCGCGGCCGCTGCGCCGTGGCGTCGCCGTCCGCCGCCGCCGACGCCCGTCGTGCTTCGCCGGCGCCGTCCCCGGGAAGCGAGCGCGCTCGGGTCGGGGGCCCCCCACACGGCGCGAGGCGCGCAGTCCGTCGACAAAGCTGCCGCCGCGCTGCACCTGGGGCTGTATGCTCCTCGCTTTCGAGCGCGCCCGCGGCGCTGCCGGCGGGCCCCGGCGCCCAGGCCCTGCAGATCGGGGCGCAGGCTGGGCACCTGGGAGTTCATCTCGGGGCCCCCAGGCGGGGTGGTGACCACACCGTGCGGTGAGTCGGTGGGGATGCAGGATCACCGCACGGTTTTGGGACTCTTGCCCACAGATCGCAGAGAGGGGTCTGATAGCCCACCCCGCCCAGGGGCGTGCAGATTTGCCGAAGGGGGCCTGTCGCCGATCGGTTGGAGATGTATCGCCGCTTCCAGATGTTTTTCCCCCTCAATGCCAGTCCCCCCCGATCGTGGCCCTCAGAGAAGAGAGCTCCCGACCCGACTTGCGCATCCTGCAACCACGGCCGCCAGACCCAATGTGTGCGGGCGTTCAGAAGAAGAAAAAGTATCGATACCGATATCCTTCTGTCGTCGTCACGGCTGGATTCGCTTAGAAATGTTGGTCAGGGCGCACCCCAGGAGAGGGGCGTGGAGAAGCGGTATCGGCATCTCTGGGTTTCTCCAGGTGCTGCCTGGGGATGCCGCTTCGCGTTCTCTCGGCACGAAAGGAAGTGGTACGGAAAGAATGGGTGCAATGCCAAACGACGGTTACTGTTCATTTGAATAGGGCTCGCTCTCCGCGCCGCCGCGGACGTTGCCCATTTGAGACAGAAGGCCGCCTGCCCAACAGCGGCCGCTGCCGGGTTTGGACAACATTTGTTGTTTGGCATCGTGCCCATTCTTTTCGTACCTGACTTCCGGGCGTCCAAAATCTCAAGTGGGGATCGTTCGAAGCAGCATGGGTCCTTGCCGTTCGCCTCCGCGGGGCTTCAAGGAAGCGGCCCTCTGGGACGACAGGCCGGCTCTCGCGGGAGACCCCGGCCAGGGGTTTCGCGGTGGAATTCTCAAGGCGTCGTCGTCGTCAAAGTCGTCGGCATCGTCGTCGTCGGAGTCGTCAGAGTCGTCGGAGTCTGCGTGGTCGTCGTCGTCGTACGATAATGGCACGAAGATCGTCCCGACCATCGTCCTCTTCATCACCTGAGTATATTAGGCCACCGCCTGACTCGCCGCCTGCCCCAGCTGTAGCCAGACCAGCGCCTGACACACAACCACATAGTTTCGTTCTTGAGCACCTCGATGAGGCCGATTTCGCCGCAGAGGAAGAAGCTGCTGAGGTTATGCAGCTGTAATCCCCACTCGATGGCATGCCGTTCCCCTGTGCAGCACCCATAGAGTGTCGCCCCATGCGGGGTCAACCGAGAGTTTTGACTCTCTGCGACGGGCCTGAAAGCTTTAGCTCAAATGATGAATCAAGTCATCTACTCTTAGCCCTGACGTCGAGGAAAAGTCGTCGACGTAGTCGTCGTCGTAGTCGTTTGCCATGCGCGAAGGGCGTCCTCCTCCTGCCGCTTGTGCGCCTCTTCCGTTGTGGGCTCGGCACTGCACGCCAGCTTGCGTCTCCCGCTCGCGCTCATCTGCAATGCCAATGCGAGATGCAACTTGACTCGTTCGAGCGCGTCCTGCTCAAGTATTCGCGACTGTGCCAGTGCCACCGCGTCGTCGTCGTCGTCGCGGGAGCAGGACTAAGACGTAGCCAGGACTCCGGTTCAAGGGACCCAGATCATCCATCATTGCAAGTTTTTGGTAGCGCTCTGGACGACGCGGTCGCGACCGAAATTTGGCCTCTGGCTGCGAATTTGCGAATTCCGGTGACGAGTGAGCCGTCGACGTCTCCGAAACCCTCGCTTGGGCCCCGACGCGCCATCTCTTCGTTGCTGGAATTCGACCCACTCGGTCTCGACCGAAATTCGGCGCGCCCAACATCCGTTGCTCAAGAACTCCAGTTGCGGATGATCTGGGGAGCCGGTCAGTGACTTGGCCCCGAAGCCCAACGAATTGCCAGAGTCATGTAGCCAAGTCTGCCGTAGTTGTTGTTTCTTCGGCTGACAGCAGTTCCGGTCAGTGAGATCGGACGGTGGGGCGTGTGCTAATCCAGGTCCCTCTAAACCAGGCCCGCCAACGCCCAAAGCACAGAATGTGAATTCCAAGATCTCCACAATCTCAACGACTCCCAGTTGCTCCGCGCGGATTTCACGAACGGAAGCCGTTGGATACCCCAGAACTCTTGGAACGCACCCCGAGCCGATCGTATGATGGCACTTTTTCTCGTCCTGAAGTGGCCACCACGGGGCCAAGCTGGGCCGCCTACGATCCGACTTGGTGCGATTCGATGCGACGGCTGGGGCTGCGTTCTCGATTCGGTTCGCTCCGATTCAGCAGCATCGGCCGGGGCCAGCAGGAGCTGGGCGCGGCGATCCGAATCCACGGCGACGCGATCCCTTTCCGATCCGAGCCGAATTCACGGCCGGATCCAGCCGGGGCCGGCCAGTGGGCCCACCAGGGGCAACGCTGAGGGAGGACCGGCGCAGGGGGGGATGCGTTGACCCAAAGCCTTGGAGGGTGAAAGAGGGGGTCTGCAACAGGGGGTCTTCAATGGGGGCCGAATGGCCCATGTATGCTCAATGTATCGCTCATGTATGTGAACGGGTACGATTGGCATCCAATGTTGGCGGTCATTGAGGGCCAGTCGTTCGTGCCCGCGCGTTGCCCGCGCGGGCACACGCGCCGTGGGGCAGCGAAGTGGAGTGCAAGTGTGTCTTGATTGTGCGATTGATGATCGCGCATGTTCCCAAAAGACGACTTCTCGATCCCCAAGACAGATTTGGAATGGGGCCCACTTTTCTCCCAAAATGTGAATTCACATGTTCCTCTTTCCCAAAATGTGAATTCACATTTTCCTTTTTTCCCAAAGTGTGAATTCACATTCTGGCCCCTTTCATAAAGAATCCTACACAAAATTCCAAAATGTGAATTCACATTTTTCTTTTCTCCAAAAGTTGAATTCACATTTTCCTTATACCCAAAATGTGAATTCACATTTTGCTTTTCCCCACAATGTGAATTCACATTTTGCACTGGCCTTCAAGATCCCCAATACTGAGGCGTTTTGTTCCGCATGTCAGATTGGCTGGGCAGATTACGACACTCACCTGACCGTTTTCGTGTGTTCCAGCCTTTTCTTTTTGCGCCCTCAGCGCACGTTGCTTTCGTCGCCTTTCCCGAGCCCCCCGCCCCCTTGCTTCCTTTCCTTTCAAGTCTCGCGCATGGGTGCAGGCGGGGGGCTTCCATTAGTTCCCCCGCCGAACACAGCAATCGAGGACGCATCGCCCATTCATGACCCATAAAGACATCATTGCCGGGACCCTGCGGCCGACCCCCACTTTCACCCTCCAAAAGTCGCCCGTTGATCGCCGATAGGCCGACAGGCAATAAGTCGGGGGCGGCCAAGAGGGGGGTGATGACCAGGGGGCCAGGGACCAGGGGTGGATGGGTATCCTGGCGGGGGCCATGACATCTCCCCAGATTTCATGTTGCCTCTTCTTGTTCCAGTACGTCCCCGACCCCCCCCCCAGGCTGCGCACATGCCGCTGGACATAAGTTGCGCCCCCCACCCCCTCCCTCCTGGGACGTTCCTCCCGTGGACGCCCCCGAACAAGGGGGCGGTAGCCCACCCCGCCCAGGACCGTGCGGAGCCGCTATCCTGGGGTTGTCGCCAAGCTGGCGGCGGCGCGCCGCCGATTCCAGCTCGGCACTGCCCCTGAGAGCCAGCCCCCCCGCCTTCGAAAAAAAAATCCGAACTAACCGCGGAGGGTCTTCAAAGGGTCTTCAATGTCGAGGACCCCCCCCTTAGCTTTCGGCGGGGAATAGAAACTCGTCCCTCCTTCTCCTCCTCCTCCTCCTTCTCCTCCTCCTCCTCCTTCCCCTCCCTCCTCCTTCCCATCTCGTCTTTCAAACTTTATGCCTCTGCCGAAGACGCCGGATATGTCCGAGACTGTGGCTCCCGAGTCGGTGGCCCCAGGCTGCCAAACGACGCCCACAGGCATCGACGCTTGATCCTCGGCCCCACCCCCGCCCCCGAGCGAGATCGGCGGCGTGCGCAAGGGGGGGGGCGGCGCGAGGGGGCGGCGTTCGAAAGAAGCGTGTGACGCTTCCAAGAAGGCAGGGAACCTCTTGGAGGCCTCGGGGCCCCGAAGAGGAGGAGGAGGAGGAGGAGGAGGAGGAGGAGGAGGAGGAAGAGGAGGAAAAAGAGAGGGAAATAGAGGATGAGGAGATGGAGGGGGGCGAAAAGGAGGAGGAGGAGGAGGAGGAGGAGGAGGAGGAGGAGGAGGAGGGGGCAGGGGGAGGGGGAAGGGGAGGGGGAGGGGGAGGGGGGGGGGGGAGGAGAGGAGGAGGAGGAGGAGGAGGAGGAGGAGGAGGAGGAGGAGGAGGAGGAGGAGGAGGCCCCAAGGCCCTCCCGCCTCCCCTCAGAAGGTCGCCCCCCTCGCGCCACCCGGGCGTGCGTGCCGCCCACGAGCCAGGAGCTCGCGGCACCAGCGCCTCGACGTGTCCGTGTGCTCCACGCAGCTCTCGGACACGCTCCTGCTGGACGGCTCCAGCAGGCGGCAGACGCTGCCGCAGCCGTTGCCGCCGCCGCCGCCACCTCCGGCGCAGTGCCTCCTCCTGGAGGGGGGAAGGAGGAGGAGGAGGAGGAGGAGGAGGAGGAGGAGGAGGCGGAGGAGGAGGAGGAGGAGGAGGAGGAGGAGGAGGAGGAGGAGGAGGAGGAGGAGGAGGAGGAGGAGGAGGAAGAGGATCACTGTCCAAACTGCCAGGTCTGCGAGCGGGCCGCCATTGAGCAGTCCCTCGGGGCCGTTGGCCGCATTTGGGACTGCCAATGGGGGGCACTCATTGCTTGGGGAGGCCCCAACTCGCAGCCTGTTTTAAGGGGATGCTAACGGGGACCCGCCCTGGCTAGCAGCCCCACATCGAAAGCCAGCTTGGGCTACCAGCCCTGGGGCGGGGGAGGAAGAGGGAGAGAGGAGAACACAAGGGGGGGAAGAGGGGGCGGAATCAGGGAGGGGCGGGGAATGGCGTGGCTGGGGATGGAAGTCGCCCGAGCCCACGCGGGACTACAACCCTACTCTAAAGGCCTCTGGCGTGGCCGGGGAAGGGAAGTCGCCCCTGCCCACGTTCGGACGCAAATCTTACCCTATTTCTTGGCGTGGTTGGGGAAAATGACAGGAGTGGCGGCCGTTAAGCTACCTTCTCTTGTCCCGCTGGATAAAGGCTGCCCCGCCCACCCCACAAACGGTGGGTTGCACAGGTTATCACTCTTCAAACAGAGTGCCCGCAGCATCGCGGCGATGGGCGGCCTCTGGAGAGGTGGGCGGCAGGGTTGGGCCTGGCTTGCGTTAGAGAAAGGATGTGGTGAAGGGAGCGCTGCGTTGGTGGCTAACCCGCCTCAAAAGGCCGGGGCCTGATAGTGGGAGGGCGGCGAGCGAGTAAAGCTGAATGACATCGTGTGACAATTGACGTACAATACCAAGATCTTGCCTACCTAGTGCGGCGTGCTACCAGCACTCCAGCCGTATTTGTTGAGTCGGGCCAGCCGAAAAAAACGGACCGCCGGTTAGATGGGTACGCGAAGCATAGCCGTAGCCCACAGTCCTGGCAGAGTTCCAGTGCGGACGGCCCTACTCAATGCCTACTGACTGCTGCTTGCTACCAAAATTCCACCCTTATTGGTTGAGTCAGGCCAGCCGAAACAACGGACCGCAGGCTAGAAAGGTATGCGTAGCATAGCCGTAGCCCGCAGTCCTGGCAGAGCTCCAGCGCGGAAGCGCGCCAGCCTTACCTGCCGAGTGTGGCTTGCTACCAACACTCCAGCCTTGTTCGTTGAGTCGGACCAGCCGAAAAAAGTGACCGCAGGCTAGATGGGCATGCGAAGCATAGCCGTAGCCCACAGTCCTAGCAGAGTTCCAGCGCAAAGGCGCCAGCCTGATGCAAAGACGTCTGTCATGATATGATTAGGCCCCTCCGCGTACGGGGTTAGATCGGCAAAGGAGCCACTCTAAGATGGAGGATGCCATACCCCGCAGGCAGATCAATCCTTCTGTGGCCCCATCTGGCGTGGCTGGGGAGTGGAATTCGCCCCCGCCCCCGCGCGGACTCAATCTTATAACCTTTTTGGCGTGGCTGGGGAATGGAATTCGCCCTAGCCCACGCAGGATGACAACCCTACTCTAACGCCGTCTGGCGTGGCCGGTGAATGGAATTCGCCCCAGTCCATGCTTGGATACAAACATGCCTATTATCTTGGCGTGGCTGGGGAATGGCATTCGCCCCGGCCCACGGTCGGTTGTACCCCCTTTGGCCCTGTTGGCCACCTACTCCAAGAGCCTTACCCCTCAGTTCGGGGGAACATCAACCCACAACACAGTCGCCGTCGCTGTGGCGACTGAAAATTTGCGTGACTCTTAAAACTTTTGGAGTCACGCAAATTCAAGGACCTTCGTCCGAAGCCCTAGCAGAATTCCCAAGATTTTTCCAACCTAGTGCGGCGTGTTGCCAGAACTCCAGCCGTCTTTGTTGAGTCGGTCCAGCCGAAACAACGGACCGCAAGATGGGCATGCGAAGTAAAGCCGTAGCCCGCAGTCCTTGCAGAGTTCCAGTGCGGACGGCGCGAATCTATGCCTACCTAGTGCCGCGTGCTACCAGAACTCCAGCCTTGACAACCCTATTCAAACACCCTCCTGGCGTGGCAGGGGAATGGGATTCGCCCCAGTCCACGCTTGGACACAACACTACCCTATGCGTTTGGCGTGGCTGGGGGATGGCATTCGCCCCAAACCACGCTCTAATGTACCCCCTCTGGCTCTGTTGGCCACCTACTCCAAGAGCCTTACCCCTCAGTTCGGGGACACGCTGGTGGCATGCTGACCATGTAAGATGGGAAAGAGAAGGAGGAAGAACGGGCCAGAAAGCGTACCTTCGGGGAGAGCTAGGGAGGAGGAGGAGGAGGAGGAGGAGGACGAGGAGGAGGTGGGTTGAGCTGCCCTGGGCTTGATTTGTGCCTTTTCCGCAAAGCAACTTGTCGGAACACCTGGGGCCCGGCTGGCGCCCATCATGCATGAGCAGCCCGGATTAAGCTTTTTGTCGCCCCGACCCCCACTCCCTGGCCCTCGTCGTCGGGGTGCTCGTCAGACCCCAGAGGGGCCCTTAAAGGCTGCCCCGTGCGACCCCGACCACTTCGGGAACCAGGGAGGCTGGGGGGTCTTCGGCACGGGGAGAGGAGGAAGAGGAGGAGGAGGAGGAGGAGGAGGAGGAGGAGGAGGAGGAGGAGAAGGGAGGAGGGAAAAGGAGGGAGAAAGAGGGAGAAGGGCGGAGGGAGGAGGAGGGAGGAGAAAGGAGGAGGGAGGAGAAGGGAGGATGGAGGGAGAAGGGAGGAGGGAGGAGGAGGAGGGAGGGAGGAGGGAGGAGGGAGGAGGGGAGGGAGGAGGGCAGAGGAGGGAGGAGGGAGGGAGGATGGAGGTGGGAGGAGAGGAGAGAGGAGGGAGGAGGGAGGAGGGAAGACCATCACAGGCTATGGGGGGAGGCTGAGATTAGGTCGACCCGACCCTAATCAAAACCTTGAGTTCACATCCGATCTTCACTTACGCCCTCAATCGCGAGGTCCAATCTGAGTCTGCGATATGGCGTCACTCCGCGGGACCACCCAGCAGCCTTCGAAAGTGGAGACAGTTTGGATGATAATGAGGAGGTCGCGGCCGCAATGCTCTATTCAAAACAAGAGCCCAACGCAGGAAGTTTGGGAAAAACAAGCTGCTCATGCCCCGCTTCGGTCATTGAGGCCCTCATGGATCGATGCGGCTCGAACATGGGATGAGGAGGGGGAGGAGGAGGAGGAGGAAGAGGAAAAGGAGGAGGAGGAGGAGGAGGAGGAGGAGAAGGACGATGTGGTTACTCTTCGCATCGATGTCTCCTGGTCTTCCGCATCATCCTCTGTTCCGAAAATTGCGCTCCATCCTCCCACGCCTGTCCCTGGTATCAGCAAATTCCCACAGCTATACTCCCCGCGCGTACACCTGCTCCTGCTCCTCATCCTCCTCCCCCTCTCCTCTCTCTTCTTCGGTTCCTGCGTTCGCCTCCTCCACGTGTCCTTCGTCTTTCACTGGTGCTCAGAACCGCCCTTGTTGGAGGGGGCGGCCCTCGCAGCCCCACCAGCTTGCCCGGCCAGCTCAAAGAGGCGGAGCACTCGAGACGGGCCCACGGGTGCGCACCACCCGGCCCACTGGCACTCGGCACTGCGGGGGTGGTTGTGGGCTCCCGCCGCTGCTCGCTCCGCTTGCACCGCAAAGGGGTGGTGGGGAACGCCAGAGCCCCCGACCTGCAAAGGAAGCCCTGCTGCTGCGCATCCCCCTCCTGTCTGCCCCAGGTCCCCGTTCGGAGGTGCGGCGGCACAGGCCAGCCGAGGGCCACCGAGCGCGCTCGCGCTTCGAGCGGCGAGATGAGGGGGGCGGGAGGCTGCAGTCCTCTGCGAGGTGGGGGGTAGGAGCCGGCGCGAGGGGGAGGACTCCTGCAAGAGTGTACGTCAGAGGAGGAAAAGATGTGGTACCCATACCCTTACCCTTCCCTCGTGTTCGCATGTTAGGCCTCCTGGGAGGCCCTCGTCGCCACCACTGGATTCGCTGCGAGATTCTGGTCAGAATGCTTCCTTGTATCGGTACCTCTGAGTACAGTTACTCCTCTTAGACCTTTGCAGAAGGAGCAGGTGCACCCTTGCATCGCTGCATTCCTTCAAGGCCTCCGCCTCCGCTTCCCCCGCCTCCTGGAGGAGGAGGAGGAGGAGGAGGAGGAGGAGGAGGTGGAGGAGGAGGAGGAGGTGGAAGAGGAGGAGGAGAGAAAAGGATAATGATGGGGGTGCCTCACCTCCTAATTTTCCGAGGCGGGGATCCATACATAACCACCGCCTGGAGAATCGATCTTCCAGGACCTCGGCAGGCGGTGGATATGGACATAGTCGGGCCCCTTGGGGCCAGCAGGTATCCACATCCACCGCCCGCTGGGGTCCCAGGGCGTGGGCCTCACAGGCGGTGGATATGGATATATCCCCGCCTCGCAAATTTCGCCTCCCCTCTTCCTGCTGCGGCCAGGAGGGAGGAGGAGGGCGAGCCCCGAGCAGCGAGGAGGGAGGAGGGAGAGCCGGAGGAGAAGCCGCAGGCGAGAGGCGACGATGGCGACGACAACGACCATCGGCGGGCGTGCTTGGGACCGAAGCGGCGCCGCCGGCGCCGCGGCGCCGCGGCGCGACGCGGCTCCCCAGATCTCCGGTGCTGTGAGTGGCTCAGTGTGGGGTCTCAGCGGCGCCGTAAAGGGTACTCACCAACGGGTACTTTTGAAAATTGCCGAAAGTTGCCACTTTAGGGCCTCTTTGTGGCATTGCAGCGTTGCCCACATCGGGGAGGGTAAGGTTCGCAGGGTCACTGGCCAACGTACCCGTTAGTGGAGTCCCCGTTAGAGGGGCGCTGAGGGTCCCTGGAAGGCCCGACCCTTCCCGCCCCAGGGGCCCGGCAGGGGCCCCAGAGTGCCGAGCTCGGCGAGCAACGGCTGCGTCGGCGGCGGCCGCGACGACGGCCGAGCCGACTCGGACGCCGCCGCCGCGGCGCGCCGCTGTTTGGAGAAGCCCGCCCCTCCTGCCTCGCGGCAGGCTCCTCGCGCAGTGCGTTGTTTTCCCCTTCCTCCCCCCCCCCCCTTCCCTCCCTCCCTCCCCGTGCTCTGCCTTCTCCTGCTCCTGCCCTCCCCCGTCTCCTCCGCCCCCCTCTGCCTTCTCCCCTCTCCTCTCCCCCTTCTCCCCCTCTCCCCTCTTCTCCCCTCTCCTCCCCCTTCTCCTTCGTCCTCCTCCTCCTCCTCCTCTTCCTCTTCCTCCTCCTCCTCCTCCTCCTCCTCCTCCTCCTCCTCCTCCTCCTTGAGCCCACGAGGGCATTACAGGGTCCAGTGGCCCAAGGGTACCCTGGGCGCTCCACGGGCCCCCTGCCTCGCTGCCAGCAGCTCGCACTCCGCGGCGAGCGCCGGTTCTCTCGGGCTCGCCGAGCGAGCTCAGACTGCCCACAGCGCCGCTCCCCGCCGCCGATCCCCCCAGCCCTGCGGCAGGCTCTTCTCGGAGGCAGTCGCCTCGCCGCCGCCCGCGCACGCGCCCGCGCGGGACGCCATGACCCTCTCCGAGGCCGTCAGTTGGCCGCCCTACAGCGGCACCGCCGGCGGCCTGGCGCGCGCGAGCCGCCCGGCCCGGCCCGGCCTCTGTCGCCCGCCGGAGTCGAGCAGTGGCGAAGCGTCCTGGCGAGCCTACAGTCCCAGCAAACAATGTTCTAAGAGCCTCTTGTGGCTCCCACGAAGTGTTCTTAGAACATGTCTGGCTGGTACTGTCTTGTTTTATCACATCGGGTCTATCTTCTAAGAATATTGTTTTCGTTCGGCCCGGGTGTTGCTAGAGGTGCCCCTGGGCCGAGGTGCCCCCGGGGGCGCCAGGTATGACCTCGCGCCTCACGTTCAGATCAGCGCATCAGCGTTGAAGCGGCGTGCAGGGGTTCGTCCCGGACATGCGCGATGCTAGAACCTTTGGGCGAGATGCTCACGTTGTGCTTTCCAGTGGCGCTTCAGTTCGGGATCCAGGTAAGAACGTATTCTTGAAAGGGGCCGCCCATTTATATCGTCCGCCGTCATCCAAAACATCGCGAAGCATCCAAAATGTCAGTGGTGCGTCTGGCCGGCGGAGTAGGGCACTTTCGAAGACGTGCCCATGGAGACCAACAGGTGCCTTGCAGTAGGCCCAAACACCCGCCGTCGTCATTTCTGCGTCGGCCGCGGGCGCGGAACTAAATTTTAGGATCTCGTTTAGCAAGCGTTTCTTCGTGCATGAGGGCATGGGCGGGTTTGTCCGTGGAGGAATTCTGCACATCGTGGCGATGTAAATCAGAGTGAGGGGGCCGAACGGTCTTACAGTGTCCCTGGGTGCGTGGCTGAAGTGGGGATGCACGGTTCGGATGATGCTTGTTGTTATTGTTGTCGTCGTCCTGGCGGTTTGGTCGCGGCGCGGGTGGGTCGCGGCGCGGGCGGGTCGCGGCGCGGTGGGTCTCGGGTGGTTTGCGACGCCGATGGGTCGCGAGTGGGTCGCGGGTGTGTTGCGGGTGGGTCGCGGCGTGGGTTCATCGCTCGGTTCCCTCAGTGACCGCTCTGGGGGCCCTCTCGGAGCTGCGTTGGGGCACTCTTGGAGCCGTCTGAGGGCCGTGGGAAGGGCCCGAAGGGGCCCCAAGACGGCTTTAAGAGTGCCCCACGACAGCTCCAAGAGTGCCCCAAGACATCTCCAAGAGGGCCCCGAGCACGCCCCAATATCGGTCACGCAAGAGAGGCAACGCGTGACCGCTCTTGGGATCCTCTTGGGGCGGTCACGGGCCTCTTGGGGCCGTCTGAGGGCCCTTAGGACGTGGGTAGGGCCCGAAGGGGCTCCGAGACAGCTCAGGGCCCGAAGACGTTTCCAGAGGACCCCCAGCGCTGTCACGCGAAACCTCTCTTGCGTGACCGATTTTGAAGCCCTCTCTGGGGCCTTTCCAGGCCCTCTTGGGGGCCTCTTGGAGCCCTCTCGGGGCCTTCTCGGACCGTTGCCAGGGCCTTCGGAGGTGCCCAAACGGACCCCAAAACAGTTGCAAGAGGCCCCCAAGAGGGCCCCCAGAGACCCCCTCAGAGTGCCGCAAGACCGGTCCTAAGCATCCTTAACTGTCCAAGCCTATTCAAACAACTCAGGACATCTCCAAACGCAGAGGTCCTTACCTACTTTGAAAAACCATTTGATCGGAGGGTGATTTCCAAAGAAGGTAAAGGCCCGCTCCGGGTTCCTGGGGGTGGGGGGTTCGGAGGAGTTCGGAGGAGCTTGGAGGGGCGTGCTGGGCAGTGGCCCCCTTGGCGGCTGCGGCGTGTTCGGGTCGCAACGCAATCCCTTGTACAGTCCAGAGCGTCTCTTTTCCCCGCCCCCTAGTTTGACGATGTCCAGTCTGACGAAGACGTAATGTGACGAGTCTTCGTTTCAAGATTTGCACAGAGTTGCCGGCGTCAAAGCAAGTTTACCTTCCCGAGGGCACTCTTCAAAATCCCGTCAACTTTTGCGAGGATGTTTCGGAAAAGACGCTCGCGTCAAATCTCGTTCAAAGTTCGTCAAATGTCGTCATATCCCGTTTTCAACCTCGTCAACTTAAGATTCGTCAAATCGCGTCATCGTCAAAATCGTTTCGTCAAATTACTTGGGAGAGGGCAACAATGACACGAGGGGGATTGCGTTGCAACCCGAACGCGGCGCAGTCGTCGAGGGCAGGCCTCCCGGAGCCTTCAGCAAGCTGGGGGCATGGTAGGGTAGTCGGCCAGTAATCGCGCTCTGGGGTCGTTCGGGCCCCTCTGCAGGTTTCCCGGGGGTGGACGGGCGAGCTCCTCAGGAGGCACCGCAGACCCCGCTGCCAAGGTTGCTGCCCGGCGGCGGGCCGCGGAGACTATCCTTGAGGCCGTGCGCGAGCGTCGGCGTGACGCCATTGAGGGTTGAGCTGCGAAAAAGCCAAAATATGATGATCAGGGCAAGGTCGGGGGCTGCCGGGGGCGCACTCGCAGCGCTCTCATTCGCTACGACGATGCTGTGCGGCAGTCCTTGAACTCGTGTCGTTTCGCGCATGGCCGCCGCCCCTTTCAGAGAAGATGCCCGGGCGAGTCGCCGTGATCAGGGAAGCGCAGCAGCGTGCGGTGAAACGCAAAACGGGGCAGCCGCTGCCTGTGGAAACAGGGATGCGGACGGGGGGGATGGAAGAGTGGCTCCAGCTTTGTCGTCGCCAGGAGCCCCAGGAGAGCCCCCCCCCCACAGGGCCGCGCAAAGGGCCCAAGATGGTTGCGGAGGCTCTTTTGGGGCCCTCTAGCGGGTCCCTGCAGGCCCTCCCTAGGCCGCGTGATACCTTCGGGGCTCAGGCCCCCAAGAGTTCATACGATAGCCTGTTCCTATGATATCGTTGGGGCCCGGGCCCCAACGATCTCACGCGGCCAGATGGGGCCCCGAGGAATTCCCGGAAATTTCAAAAAGGGGCCCGCGAGGGCCCGGAGAGAGCCCGAAGAGAGCGCCCGCTCGGCATTAGCAAGCGTCGCGCCAAATTCCGTCAGACGGAGCTTGGCGCGATGCATCGTGCGCCCCCTTCGGAGCCCTCTTGGGCCGCTCTCGGGGCCCTTTCGGGCCCTCTGCAACTTCTCTCGGCGCCCTCCCGGGCCTGTCTTGGAGCCCCCTTTGGGGCCTTCCAGAAGCTTCGGGAGGGCCCCGAGAGGGCCACCCCAGCCAACGTTCTACGCCCAGAGGGTTGGGTGCTGGAGAGATTGGTGGGCAGTTGCAAGGTATCGCAGGTCCAGCTGTAGGGCACTGCAACGCACAGCAGGGTCTCTCGCAGGATACTGCGTGGCATCGCAAGGTTTTCCTAAGGTCTTCGGCGAGGTTTTAGCAGGGGTCTGTTTATGGTCTTGATATGTTTTTTTTGCAGGGTGGCTGCAGGGTTCTTTGCAAGGTCTCTGCACGGGGGCCCTGGCATGGGTCGTCGCATGTGTTGGCGCTCTGGGGCGGGAGGCCTCGCGGGCGACCGTTCTTTCGCGCGGCCGCGCGGCTGCTCCGCGGGGGGCTGATTCGAGCCACGCAAATTGCGCAGACTCAGTCTTTGTCCGATCCCGGTTCTGGGCTCGACTTGCTCCCCGAGGGCCTCCGATCCTCGGGGCACTTTCTGCTGGGGGCACTTCTAGCAACCCCGAGAGATGGAGCGAAAACGCCCGGCTCGAAAAAATAGAGTCGCCAGGATCCCAGCCTCTCCAGACCCCGACGTCATGTTTTTTCATGACGCCAACCCCCAGAGGTCTGGGCCCCTTCCCCGGGACCGGTTCTTCATCCTGAGTCCTTGACGGTCCCGAGGCCCGGCAGGGGCCTCCAGAGACAGAGAATATAGAAACACAGCCCGTCGTGATGTTTGTCATGACTCGAGGGGGTCTGGGTCTCCTGATGCTCGGCGCCGAGGTCGAGCATCAGGAGGTTGAGCCGCCCCCGTTGGGGGCGAGGGGAGGGGAGGAGGAGGACGAGGAGGAGGAGGACGAGGAGGAGGACGAGGAGGACGAGGAGGAGGAGGAGGAGGAAGAGATGGAGGAAATGGACGAGATGGAGGAGATGGAGGAGATGGAGGGTATGGAGGAGATGGAGGAGATGGAGGAAATGGAGGAGATGGAGGAGATGGAGGAGATGGAGGAGGGGGAGGAGGAGACGGAGGAGGAAAGGAGGGCGGAGGAGGAGGAGGAGCGCCGAGGTCGACCGCGGCCCCACCGGCCTCGGGGCTGGCGCCGGGGCCTGGTCGGGCCTGCCCACGGGCCCGCTGGGGCCGGCCGACGGGGCGTCTCGTTCGCCGAAGGCCCCCGCTGCGCTGCGCGCTGCCGCCGCCGTCCGCTGCCGCCGCGGTCGTCGTCGTCGTCGTCGTCGTCGTCGTCGTCGTCGTCGTCGTCGTCGTCGTCGTCGTCGTCGTCGTCGTCGTCGTCGTCGTTGGCCGTCGTCGTCGTCGCAGTTGGCCGTCGTCGTCGTAGTTGGTCGTCGTCGTCGTGGTCATCGTCCGACGTTTGAGGGTCGAAGTTCGGGGATGGAGGTTTCTCGGTGTCTTCGCCCTCTGCCGGGCCTCCCGGGGGCCTCTCGTGGCCACTGCCGGGTCCGCCGGCCGCCGCCCTCGCGGTCGTGGTGGCCGTCGTCTTCGCTCGGCGGCGCCGCCCAGGGGAGGGGGCAGAGGAGATGGGCCTTCTCAGGAGGCGAGAAAGGCTTCTCGCCTGATAAGAGGCGTTCGAAGCCTTGTTCGGGCCGGACGCAAGGGAGGGATTGGGAAAGGGGGGGGTACGAAATTTGCTGCATGCGGCCTCGCCGAGGGGCCCATTCCTCGATCAGCACCGCCGCCTCCTGAGAAGGCCCCCCGCGCCGCGGTCTTCGTGGTCTCAGCACGATCGAAATGGAGACGCAAGGAACGTGCGCGAAGGTCGAGCGCAGTTCTTGTCCATGTTGAGCAGGATTCGTTGTCCGTCTCGCCGCGGGCGCTGTTCACTCGCGGCAAAATGTCGCCTGTCCAAGGGCGGCCGCTGTCGGTCTTAAACAGCTCGTATTGTTGGGCATGGTGCCAATTTTTCCGTACCCATGTCTCGGCGGCGAGTGGGGGGGGGGAAAGCGAGAAGGAGAATATCTTCTCAGAAGGTTCGGAAGTCCCCCTCAGAAGTTCTCTTAGCCTTTCCCCCAGAGACTGAACATTTCTCAGAAGTCCCGTCGCCTTCTGAGAAGTCCCGCCGCCTTCTGAGAAAGCCTTTCTCCTTCTCGTTTCCCCCCCTCGCTCACCGCCGAACGTCGGGCGTGCCAGTGGTCGTCCTCTGGGAGGCCTCTTGTGGCTACCACTGCTGGGTCCGCCTCGAGATGTTGGGCCGGACGCAGCCGGGGACGGGTCGAGGCTTGTCGGCGCTTGGCCCCCAGGCCCAGACACCCCCTCGCGTCGCGAAAAGGCACGCGCGTCGTCGTCGTGCCAATCCTAAGCATCTGCAGGGCCTCCAGGGCTGTCCCCAGACCCCCTCGCGTTGTCACAAAATTCACGACGGGAGTTTTTGCCGCTTTTTTCGGCTTATGGGGGCCCCTAACGAGCCTCGGGACCGTCAAAAAACGATTCAGGATAGAAGACCGATCCCTGGAAATGGGTCCAGACTTCTGGGGGTCGACGTCATGAAAAAATCATGACGTCGCGGGTCCGTGTCAATAGCTAATTATCCAGGGTGGAAGAGCCAGCCTGGCTTCGGCCCAAGTTGCAAATAAAGGTGCGACACCTGAGATGTGGGCCGACAGGGCAATGAGGGCTAAGGCTTCTGCTGTTGTATGTGAGTTTCTTCTGTGTGGCCTCCCGCCGCAAGCCCGAAGCCCGAAGCAGGAGGAGAAGGACCAAGAGGGCGGGGGAGGAGCACCAGGAGCAGCAGGAGGAGGAGGAGGAGGAGGAGCACTAGCCCCTCGCATCCTGTGTATCTGTTGTGCTCCTTGGAGTTTTGTTTGCATTATCTGTCTGACCATTTTGCATTGCTCTTCTAAGATCCGCCTGGAGGAGGACCTGCCCGACGCAAGGCTGGGCTTCAAGCAGTGGCGAAGCGTCCTGGCTCGCCTATAGACCTACCAAACAATATTCTAAGAACCTTCTGTGGTTTCTACGAAATGTTCTTAGCACATGTCCGGTTGATATTGTTTTGCTCTAACACATCGGGCGTACGTTCGAAGAACATTTTTGGTGTTCTTAGAACATTGTTGGGTCCTAAGAACATCTCGTGGTAGGACTATAGGAATGCCGGGGCGGTCGGTCCCTGCTCAAAGGCTGTGCCGCTGCCTTCCTGCCCAGGCCCCCCTCGCCCCCGCGACACAGGCGGCGGGGCGGCCCCGCGCGGCGGCCGCTGGCGGCGCGCCCTCCGGCAACCTGCGGGCGGTGCCTTGGCCGGCGTGGCCCCCCCAGCAGCGCCCCCGCCGCCGCTCGCCGCCGCGGCCGTCCGGCCACGAAGGGCCCTCCGATGCTCGTCTTGACTCGAGCAGGTCCCCTTCCCAGGAGGAACGTATGCCAAAACAGTCCACAAAGCGTCGGGGAAATTGTTCGACCCTGTCTGACTCGTTTCGTTTTCTTGTTTGTTTACTATTTGGCATTCCACACTCCACAGTCCGCCGCCGCCGCCGCTCTCACCGAGCGCGTTCCACTACTCGCAAAGTGCCTACTCGCAAACGTCCGAAACATACACGTCTGCTTCGGTGTAACGTCTCGTAGATTCCCCCGGCGGATGCAGGCCATTTGCGAGTAGTCGGTTTGCGAGCAGTGGAACGCGCTCGTCTACGCTCGCCGCCGCGGCCGCCCGGCCACGAAGGGTCCTCCGATGTTCGTCTTGGTTCGAGCAGGTCCCCCAGGAGGACTGTGCAAACATAGTCCGCAAAGCGTCGGGGACGATTGTTCGACCGTGTTGGACTCGTTTCGGATTTTTTGGTTTTGTTTACTAGTTGGCATTTCTCTTCCACAGACCGCCTGTAGGAGGACATGCCCGACCTAGTGCTCGTTTCGGACGGGCCTGGAATCGAGATAAAGCAGTTCCGGAGCGTTCCGGAACGCTCTTGAAGCGTTCCAGAACGTTCTGTAGCGGCCGCGACGCCCGATGCATCCTTTGGACCCGCCGATTGTCAGAGATGTCCGATTTAGATAGGTCCGAGTGTGTCTCGACTCTGCCTTCGCCGTATCGTCTTGGGGATCTGTTGACTCGAGTGCGGCGCCAGTTCGAACCGAGTTCGGCTGGCGCTCGACGCAGGAGAGACGCAGGCGTGGAGCGAGTGGCCCCAGGATGGGGATATGAGCATAGGCGGATGGCTCCTGTGCCATATGCAACGCGCATATGAGCACGACGACGAGCCCATCCTGCAGCTATGCGCAGCCACCACTACCAGCAAAGGATGGAATGGCGTGGGCGCGCCGACGAGCAGCAGGAGTGGCGCGCATCGTAGAGGCATAGCTTGTAACCAGTCGTGGCTCCAGGAAGGTCCCCAGAGCGAACGTTCTGAGGATCGTCGAAACGAGCAGGTCGCCGCCGCCGTCGTCGCCTGCGGACGTTTCCGGCGGTTTTGGTCAAGCAGTTGGGCGGCGCCCTGGCCGGCGTGCCCTCTCCAGCGGCGCCGCCGCCCCTTCGGAAGGGGACGAAAACACACAGACACAATTCATCGTCGAATCCCCGGAAAAATATAGGAAAATACGGGAAGTGGGGGGGACGAAAACCCAGGAAATGTGGGAAAGTATGGGGGATCCTGACATTTGTGTGTATTTATTTGTCTGTCATCCGACCCATTGATACCAGTCGCCACCGATCATTCACCATGAAGCAAACGGTTTCCGAGATTTTTTCGCCGTTTTGCTGGCGTCCTTGGGCCCTCCACGGACCCTTGGCTGTCTTGCTTGTAAACGACCCAGGCCGCGAGATCGGTCCTGGGGGACGTCCTCGAAGCCCAGCAACCGTTTCTCTCAGAGTCGGCAGCAGCGCCGCCGCCACCAGTCGTCGTCGACGTCTCTCCATGAGCCCAGGCCTCCGGCTCCTTGTGAGTTTATCAATCCAGGCGTTGTTTTTTCGAGTTTGGCCTCCAGGGCCCGTCATCGACCGAACCCCATGGCCATCAAACATCGACCCAGGACGAAACAAAAGCGCCCTCGACGAGGCGAAGCGACTCGCGCTCCGCGGTTCGGCTCCGACTCCTCCTCGGCCTCCTCTGCTCCCCTGGGGGGCGGCGCGACAACGTGAAGGATGCGCGCTTCGCGCAGCGTGACGCGCGAAATTACAGTGCCGTTTTTAATACATGCTCCGCGTGCGGATCATGTATTAAAAATGCAGGGAGTTAGTATTAAAAATCATCCCAGTGCGACCCTACCTAGGAGTTGGAACCCCTAGGAAAGCAGCATTAGTAGTAACAGTAACGCTAAGCTAAAACTAAGCTAAAGCTAAGCCACAGCTAAGCTAACGTTAAGCTAAAGCTAAGCTAAAGCTAAGCTAAAGCTAAACTAAAGCTAAGCTAAAGCTAAGCTAAAGCTGAACAACAGCTAAGCTAAAGCTAAGCTACAGCTAAGCTAAAGCTAAGCTAAAGCTAAGCTACAGCTAAGCTAAACCTAAGCTAAAGCTAAGCTAAACGCTAAGCGAAAAGCTAAGCGAAACGCTAAGCGAAACGCTAAGCTACAGCTAAGCTAAAGCTAAGATAAAGCTAAGCTAAAGCTAAGCTAAAGCTAAAGCTAAACTGGGGGGAACCGCTCCCAGGGGACTGGGGGAACCGCCCGGGGCGTGTTCCACTGCCCGGCCCCTTTAAGCTAAGAGAGTAAGAACCCTTCTAGGCAGAGCCTAGGTAGGGAACAACGACTAGTTCATGCATAGATTTATCCATAACTTACTCATGCATTAAAACTCCAATATTATCCCAGTGCGACCCTACCTAGGAGTTGGAACCCCTAGGAAAGCAGCATTAGTAGTAACAGTAACGCTAAGCTAAAGCTAAGCTAAAGCTAAGCTAAAGCTAAGCTAAAGCTAAGCCACAGCTAAGCTAAATTTAAGCTAAAGCTAAGCTAAAGCTAAGTTAAAGCTGAGCAGCAGCTAAGCAACAGCTATGCTAACGCTAAGCTACAGCTAAGCTAAAGCTAAGCTAAAGCTAAGCTACAGCTAAGCTCAAGCTAAGCTCAATCTAAGCTAAAGCTAAGCTAAACGCTAAGCGAACAGCTAAGCGAAACGCTAAGCTAAAGCTAAGCTACAGCTAAGCTAAAGCTAAGCTAAAGCTAAAGCTAAAGCTAAAGCTCCCAGGGGACTGGGGGGACCCGCTCCCAGGGGACTGGGGGAACCGCCCGGGGCGTGTTCCACTGCCCGGCCCCTTTAAGCTAAGAGAGTAAGAACCCGTCTAGGCAGAGCCTAGGTAGGGAATTACAAACAAAAATCCAATGTATTAGAAATTGCCCTGTAGGCGAAAAGCCTGCCGCCGCGCTCCACCTCGGGCTGTGCTCCTCGCTTTTTCCGCGCGCCCGCGGCGCTGCCGGGCGGGCCCCAGCGCCCAGGCCCTTGCAGATCCTGGCGCACGCTGGGCACCTGGGAGTGCATCTCGGGGCGGACGAGCGTCGGGCGACGAGATCTATGTCGGGCGTGCCCCCCTACAGGGGGATTTTCGACGAAACATGAAAAAAAATACCCCAAAAATGCTCCAAAAAGGTCAAAACATACTAGGCCCCAGACTATTGTTGGACCATTGTTTGACCATTTTGGGTGGTATTTTTAATTTTTCGTGGAAAATCCCCGTGTAGGGGGACACGCTCGACATAAGACTAGATCCACTCACCGAGCGCGTTCCACTACTCGCAATGTGCCTACTCGCAGACGTCCGAAAAGCACCTGTCTGCTCTGGTATCGTTTATCGTAGATCCTCCGCGGGGGATCTGGGCCATCTGTGAGCAGCCAGTTTGCGAGTAGTGGGACGCGCTCGTCTATCCACACACCGCCTCGCTGGCCAAGCCAGGAGGGGCCCAGGATGGGCCTGGCCAGGAGCAGTGGAGATGTACAGATCTCGTCGTCCTCCTGGCATCGCTCGGACGTGTGAATTTTGTCTCGGCGAGAACCATCGAGGACCATCCTGGACCATCGAGCAACAAAAAAACACGCACGAAACCGAAAAATGCACGGGAAATGGACGTTCGCAGGCGGCTTCGGAACGCGCTCCGATGGCTCCAGATGCCTTCCAAGACGCCTGTCATGACACCAAGAAGGTCCCAGAAGCCTCCAAGACGCTCCGAGAGGCAGCCCAAGAGAGGCCCAAGAAGCAAAAATCGTGCCATTCCTATGGGAAAACGTATATTTTTCGCATGTTCGCCTCTTGGGCTTTCACCGCGTCCAAGACGGCCCAAGAGGCGCCCAAGACGGTCTACGAGGCCTCCGGGAGCGCTCCAAGGCTGCGCACGAGTGGCCCAGGACGGCCCCAAGACGGCCCAAGAGAGCCCCAAGACGAGTTCGAGAGGGGTCCCAGACGGAGAAAGCCAACCTCGAATTCCGAGCTTCCGGCCCAAGAGGCTCCAGGAGGCGCCAAAATGCCGCCAAGAGGCGCCAAAAGGCTCCCAAAAGCACCCCAAGACGTTCCGAGAGGCACCCCAAGAGAGGTCCAAGAAACAAAAATCGTGCCATTCCTATGGGAAAACGTATATTGTTCGCATGTTCGCATCTTGGGCTTTCACCGCGTCCAAGACGGCCCAAGAGGCCTCCAAGACGGCCTAGGAGGCCTCCGGGAGCGCTCCAAGGCTGCGCACGAGTGGCTCAGGACGGCCCCAAGACGGCCCAAGAGAGCCCCAAGACGAGTTCGAGAGGGGTCCCAGAAGGAGAAAGCCACTCTCGAATAGGGTGGATCATAACGCTATCAGAAGTGGTCGCTGGGGGTTGGGGGGCGTGTGGGGAGCTGCGCGCGGGATAGATCCCCACAGGTTGGGGGTGAAGCGCACGGCGCAGAGCTACACCATCACCAGCATCATATTCAGCATCGGAATCGCAACCGTATTCGGTAACATCAGGGATATCAATGCACGCCGTACCATCAACAATACCACCGTCTACAGCGGCATTACCACCATCATTAACACTATTCGGAGTCAACTTCCCACAGAAGGAAGAGGAAGAGGAGAGGACCAGAAAATGAGGAGGAGGAGGAGGGAGGAGGAATCGGAGGAAGGAGGATGAGGAGTAGGCCCTCATCGTCCACATCCGCAGTTTCGTTAGCATCGTCCTCATCATCATTATCCTCAAATTTCCGCATCCTCGTCCGTCGCATCATCATCAGCATCATGCTCATGATATACCCTTATCCTCGCGTGCAACATCATCCTCCTCCTTTGTGTCGTACTCCTCCTCCTCATCATCATCATCCTCATCATCATCACCATCATCACCATCATCATCATCATCATC